ACCTGTGATGCATACCTGTGCCCTTTGGTTGTATATAATAATCTTTAGGCAGGTGCTACAGTCAGTATGTTTGTGTCCTCCAAAATTTATATGTTGAACTGTAATCCCCAATGTAATAGTATTAAAATCTGGAGCAATTAGGAGGCGATTAGATTACATAATCACAAAGGATTAGAATCCTTATAAAAAAGGCCCATGGGATTGTTCACTCCTTTCTGCCATATAAAGATACTTAAAAGGCACTATCTATAAGGAACAGGCTCTTATCCAATACCCAATCTACAATGCCTCTGTAACTTTTAGAAATACATTTTTGTTGTTTATAAGTTGTCTGGCCTAAGATTTTTTTTCCTCATTAAGTTTAATGGTACATTTTAGGTATACAGTACAGTTACATTCATCATTGGGAACTTGTACCTTTACATGACAGGTCTTGGTTCTCATTTTTCCCCTTACCTTACCCTCCTTTCACCGCCTCCTCCCTTCCCTATTTACAAAAACTTTATTTCCATTTTTTTGTTTTCTCATATTTTTTTCTTTTCCCTTATTTCCTTTTGGCCTAAAATATTTTGATATAGTAGCTGGAACAGACTAAGATACCAGGTTACTATACCTCTAAAAGGACACATTGACCAGATAATCAAAAAGGCTAACTCTTTACTTTGTGTGACACACATAGAGCCAGGTTAGTTTTCTCTCTGGTGGAGTCTTTCTTCCTCTAAGTGGGGAAGCCATTCTATTTCTGTGTGAGTAAACAACATTCACCTCCAAGCTCTTATTCTGCAGAAGTCTTATCACGTGTCATCTGTTAATATTAAAACAAGTGTGGTTCTTTCCACTTACTTAGGTCCCTTGGCATGTTGTTTCCTCCTTTTAGGCAGGCAAGTGAGAAAAGTTGTAAATTTAAATTGTTGAGTGCAACTTCCATTTCTGGATGCCTGTCCAGGAGGGTTTGCCTGTGAGCATCATATTGGGATCCCTAAGGCAGCAGTTGTGAATGTGGCTTTCAAATAAGAATGCTGATCTGTGGGCAGAGCAGGTGGTGGCTTTGTTTACATCTGCTATGGATTGAGTTGTTCCCAAAAGTTAATATATTAGAAACATTCCCAAGTGCAGTAATATTGGGGGGTAGGGCATAAGAAGCAATTAGGTCATGAAGGCTCTGCTATTCATTAATTAATGCCTTTGTTGTTGGTAATGTGAAATGGTGCAGCTACTTTGAAATACACATTGATAGCTTTCTCTTCAAAATTAAATATACCATTCTAACCCATGGAAACTACTTTATAGAAATAAAAACATACATCCATATAGAGACTTGTATGTTTACCTTCATAATAGCTTTATTCATGTCCCTAATCTGACAGCAACTCAAATAAATGTATATCAAGTGGTGAAGTGGATATATGAAACAATTTATTCATGCAGTACTATTAAATGATAAAACAAAGGGGAAAAAATACCAGTAGATGTTACAATACAATATGACCACAAAAACATTATGCTAAGCAAAAGAAGACAGGTGCAAAACCCCACATATTATATGAGTTCATTTATAGGAAGTGTCCAGGTAAATCTATATAGTAGTTCATGCCTGGTGTTGGGCATGGGTATAGGAGGCAACTGTAAATGGGCACTAAGGATCTTTTGGGGGGTGACAGAAATGTCCTAAAAGTGCACCAGGGCAAAGGTTATACAAATCTGTAAACTTAGTAAAAATCATGGACTTATACCCCTGAAGTGGGTAAATTATGGCATGTAAATTGTTTCTTGTTGTTATTTTAAGATAGGGTCTTGCTATGTAGGCCAGACTGGCTTTGAACAGGCTTGCTTCAAACCTGCAATCCTCCTGCTTTAGCCTTTACTATTCTGGGATTGCAGGCATATACCACCATATCAGATTATTAAATTATTTTATGAAATTATTAGTGATTAAATGAATTTAACTTATGGGTAGTGGCTAGTATACAGTCTTCAAAATTGACAGTATTCTTTGAGGATATATTTAATCTTCTGTGATCAGATCTAATGCCTCAGAGGGCAAGGATGACAAGTGCTTATAGCTAGCAAGTACTCTCAATGCTTACTATGTTCAGACTCTGCTGTCTACATAACCTTTTATCAAGAATCCTTTGACAAGGTTAGTGAAATATGCCTAATGAGAAGGAAATGGAAACTTCATTAATGTCTAGGACCACAGCATGCAGAATCTTATACCCAACAAATCTAAACTGTCTGTGTATTGAAAACTTTAAAGCCCTAAAATCTAATCTGGTCCCGGGGTCAGCTGTGTAGCTCTCAAGATCTCCTTGGTTCTATGCTAAACTGGATCTTGAACTGCATTCTCTGTAATCAGGTTTCTGTGGAAAAACGTGTCCTGTGCCTTCTGTTGGTTTCCTTCCATGATAACAGCTGGGAGAACTTTCCTATGGAGTTCCTTTGGCATGTGGAGGACAGGCAGATAGGAGAGGGGAGTAGAGAGGGATGAGCACCAGACAAGCCTCACTCCTTTCCTCCTGTTAATGTCCAGCTGGAGTTGCCGGCCTTTTATCTTGATTATACATATGATGGACTCAGCAAATGATTCCTTCTAAGCACTGAATTCTGCTGTGAAGCAGAAAGTAACAGAAACCATTTGTTTTTTTGTTTGTTTGTTTGTTTTGGTACTGGGTATCGAACACAGGACCTTGTGCTTGTGGAGCAGCCACAGTGCCACCGAGCTAAATCCCTGGCCCAAAAACCATTGTTTTAGAAAATTGGTAGTAAGTAGAATGTTGACATAGTAATTTAAAACAAATTTACTTATGGACCTGATGTAATAATCCATAGGAGCAAAATCACCACCAATCCTGGACACACTTCACATTCATGCTTTCTTGGCTCTGCTAAGTTTGAAAAATGCTGTAGTTAGGTCTTCATTTCATTAAACAATTTTCACCCATGTCTTTATCCTGAAGAGACTAAATGGCACTTAAAATATATATATGAATACTTATTTACAGTTTTCATGTTTTCCGTTTTCACTAGGGATATAAAGTTTTTAGAATTTGTTATGGGGTGTCTTTTTTCTTAAATGAACTTTTTCTTCACATCTTCTAAAGATATTATGGAAAAATATTTTATTTTCTTTATGCCCAGGCTAGAAATTACAAAATAAATTAAAAGTACCATAAATCCTATTATTTTCTTCACTTGAGGTTCTCCTAAGTATTCTAAAGGCTGTGTAAACCTCTAGTGGTTTGTCATCAAGCATGGCGTCTATGGACATAGAACCTCTGCTTGCTTATAAGAAATGACACTGAGAAGTAATAAGAGCTGGTGACAGGAAACAAGCCGAGATTTCCTCCCTGGCTCTCATGCTTACCATGATTCTGGGTAAACTTCTTAAAAGCTCTGGTTCCCAAGGACAATAATCCTAGCCTTACTAACTTCACAGATTTGAGTTTAAATGAAAAATGCTATGTGAGGTTATAGACTGAATTATTTGTACATCCCCAAATTCATATATTGAAAGGCTGATGTTCACTGAGATGTATTAGGGGGTGGGGTCTATAGGAAGATATTAGGCCATGAAAGTGGAGTCTCCATGAATATAATGGATTAGTGACTGTATATGTATAGACATGGAATAGATTTTTTTTCCTCATTAGTGCCTGGCCCCAACCAGGAATTGGGTCCTCACCATCCACCAGATCAACTGGTGCTTTGATCTTGGACTTTCCTTTCTCTAGAACTGTGAGATATATTTATATTATAGCAGCCTAAACTAAGACAGAAGACCTTTTGTAAAGTACTATAAAAATATACATTGTCATATCATCTAAAGTGAATAATGCTCTTCATTTTTCAAAGGAAAATGATACTTGTTGTCTAGGGACATTTTGTCCTTTTCAATATGTTAAGGTTATTTCTTTTAAAAACAGAAAAAGCTCTAAAAGCTGTAGGATTTACCTTGAATGTTTAATAACCTATAATGGTATATTGGTTCATGAATGCTTTTGATTGCAAACAAATTGATTCTCAAAGAAAAGAAGAGTTTGGGAAAAAATGTTTTTTTTTTTGCAATCTCTACAGCAGGTGACAGACAGGACCATGGCCACCTTTCCCACACAAACGAAAGTGAGGCCATCTTTTCTGAAATCGTAGAACAAAATAAGTTTGTGAACCAAGGTACCACTATAGTTCGTATAGATAGATACAGCTATAGATATATATCACATTTTAAAAGAAATAATATAATACTGAATTGTCATTATTGTGCTTGTAACTTGAATTTTGTTCATTACCATGTTACTATTGTTCTAAACAAACTAGGCACTTAAGTTTAAGTCCACTGAATTCTGAATTTCTTTATTATATTAAAAACAGGTGATTACAAAGTAGAATGTAGCAATAGTAATGCTTTATATTTGATTTATCTTGGTCAGGTCCATGAAATTACTACTAACAGGAAAGCATTAATCTCTGACATATATATTTTAAGTATGTATGTTACACAGTGCATGTCCTTTTTAGTTTTATAACAGAAGTATTGCAAAAGTGAATGTAAGAACAGCAGAGCTATATCATATTTTTAATAAAAGAAATCTTACATAGCTCAAAATATTGAAATATTTTTCATTTTTAAAAATCCTTGAGTTTCTGAACCTAGTACAACTGAACTGAACTTGATTCATTTATATTAGGAATATAGCACTTCCCTTTCCCCGATTTTGTATAGTTACAGAGGAAATTGGTTTTTAGGATACATGATTCAAGTGAGAAAAATTGCATTTTTAATTCCACACTATTCCTTAGACTGGAAAAAATTTTTTTGGAGTAGTCATGTTTATTTCACAGTAACTCTATAGCAGAACAATGTAGTATGTTAGTGTAGAAATACAAACAGCTTTATCAAACAAAATACTTACTATTTTCGAAAGCTGCCTTACAGAAATTATTTACTCAAGACAAAAAACAAATTCTCAGTTTCATTAATTAGCTTTGTAAATATTTTGCCAGAGCTTTTTTTTGGGTGTGGGAGGGGAAAGTTTAAAAGCTCATATATGTCTATTTTGTTTTAGTTTGGTGTATTTATTAAGAGTAAATTCTGTATGCCTTTGTAGTTCATCAATATGTGTATTTAGAAGCTTTTCAAGTTCTTTTGCTCGCTTCTCTTCTTCCAGTAAGAAATGCTGTGCAGCCAAAGAAGCTGGGAAGGATATATCTGGGGGAGACTAGAGGGAAAGAAAGAAAAATGAGAGGAAGAATACAGAGCCTTTTAAAATCTTCATATTTCCAGGCATGCTTCATCTCTGACATATTGTCAAACACTGCAACTGTTAATGAAATAATACATCTTGAGCTGAACTCCTTCCACCAGTGCAATGCAGTTACCGCTAATGAAATCCTCAAGGAGCTAAGACATCACAGCACCATTACATTAAAAAGCCCTAGAAGTGAATATTATAGTATCCAACTGCAAATGCAGGGGCAAGGTAACCACCAGGGAACCTGCCTAAAGCATGCTGTACTAATTTGCAAAGCCAGTGATTCTCATCTGGAAACAGGCAACTCCAAAAGCTAAAGTAAGGATCACAGCAGAATTGGGTAAATTACACACACACACATACACACACACACACACACACACACACACACACACACACACACACGAATGGTTGCCCTAACAAGGGGGCTAATTGATACTTGGAGCTAGCCAGGTGCATAATGCTGGCATCTATCTTAGGGAAAATCTGAATGATGAGTACCCCAATTTCACCCATCTTGGAAATGCTATTTAATTTTTTGTGACTTGTTGAATGTTTATTTACAGAAAAAAAATATCTGGCCATGGAATAAAAAACAATATTAGATAATTTTATAATCCTTAGTTTAAAAGATTAAAAACTCAATTTTTAAAAATTGAAGAAATTTTTAATTTTCTAGTTGTGTGCTCCCTTTTATTCTTTTATAAGTTACGTTAGGAAGAATGGGACTGAACCTTGCTCTAAGAAGATTAAGTTTTTCCATCTGGCACCTGCCAAAACTAGAGATCATGGCAGATTACAGCAGTCCAGTTATAGCTGCTGTGCCAGGTACAGTGTCTTTATGAGCGTAGAGTATCAAGACATGGTATGCCAGACATGCTGTTGATTTGGCAAATGCATTTTTTCTAACATCACCACCAACAGAAGGGACTAGAAGCAGTTGACATTCACATGGGATTGACAACAGTGTATATCCACGGCCTTGCCCCCACCTTGTGTTATGATATTGCCACATTAAATTCTGGAGGGACCTAGACCATCTGGATAGTCCAAAAACTCTCACATAGAGCACCATATATTAATTGTAACATAAGTTAATAAGGCTGATGAGCAACAAGTAAGTAGCAAGTATGACAAAGGCTTGGAAAATGCATGTGCTCCAGAGATTTAAGGGCTTGACATATTTTTTTTTTTCAGTAGTATAGGGCATGTCAGGACATCTAAGTAAATTACAAAGGAATACATCTTGAAGATATTCCACTGTTGGGTGGAATAATCTGACCCAATTTTTGGGTGACTTAGAAGTAAGCTAAGAACACTAAAGGGCTCCATAATGGCTTCAGGATAGAGTACAACAACCTTGTAATTTTGTTCAAATGACTTGGTAGATCCTACGTTATAAGAATATCTGATAGAGAAAAATGCCTTGTGGAACCCTTTATAAGTCTCAGGGGAAAAGGTATATTGCAGACAGGATCCTGGAACAAGGTATGCCATCAGTAACAGAAACCTGTATACTATTTGCAAAATAGTTGCTGCCATGCAGTTGAGTTATGGTTGAGAAAGACAATCTACCAAGTGGATAGCTTTATGTGATCCATTTTCTGTCACTGGCTACCTAGTGGAAATCATGAAACAGCAGGGGTTTCCTGTCACCAACTGTAATAACTTCTGTTGCTACTGAATGTTTGACCTGCTCACAAAAGAAGATATAGTGAAGCTCCTGAGGTACACCATCCCTCAATGAGACTGACCAGTCTCTTGGTGGCAATCTGATTACATCACATGTCATCGGGTGCCTCACACCTCAGAAAGGACAATGTTTTGTCCTTACCTGAACTGACATGCATTTGCCTTTCCTGTCCACTGAAAAAGCAAACCATCTGAGAACTCAGAGTGACTGACATGCTGACATGGGAACCAGCTTTACGGCAGACTAATGATTTGGAAATTCTAAAATCATCAGATATTAGAATAATGGAATAGTTAGCAGCTTATCATTGTTCTCCCTGTGGCTTAGTTGGAAAAAATGCTTACTTTTCCTCTGTAAAGATCAAAGTCTTGTTGGTACAGAAACTGTAGTCTCCATAGAGATTCTCATAACTTTTAAACAAGGCGGTTCATTTTATTTACTTTATTGGTGTGGAATTTTATTCTATTTAGAAAGTGTTGGCATTTTATGTCAAAATGAAGACAAAGTGAGTGTTTGGGGGCTTTAGAGATTGCTAAATTTTCAAACATTCATGGTTTAAAGTTTTCTTTTTCAACCAGAATAGTTTAAATCTTAATTTCAGTCTTTACCAATACAAGGTGACAGACTCCAGAAGAGTGGAAAAGTAATCATAGTATACCCTGATTCATTAAAACATGCTCCATTGTGTATTTATTTATAATCTGTATCCCATATTAGTATATCATGGAGTGGCACTGAAAAAACACATAATACACTTTAATGACAAGGGAAGGGTAATTGCTAAAAGTACTACCACTTTGCCTTCTGAGATGAAAAACTATCTTTTTTTAAAAAAAAAAGCCGTTTTTTATGCAGATACATCACAAAATAGAAAATTTTAGCAGAATAATGTAAACTATAAAAAGAATCAAATGAAAATTCAAGAACTGAAAAATACTCTTTCCACCTGCTTTATGAGGTCGACCTAATCTGATACCTGACAAGGATACTAAAGGAAAATTATAAGCCAGTTTATCTTGTGAGTACCACATAAAAATTCTAAACCAAATATTCATAGACCAAATACAATGATTTAATTAGATTTATTCTAAAAATGCAAAATTAGATTAATCTATAATCAAGAAAAATTATCACATTAATAGCACAAAGGAGAAAACTCATATTGATATTTTAACAGAGGCAAAAAAGCATTTGATAAAATCCTTTATGAAAAAATTAGCAACTCAGGAATAAACTAAACTTTCTTAATCTTCTAAAAGGAATCTACCAAATAACCACAGGTTTGTGTGTTATTTATATACATTGAAATACTACAGAGAAACAAAACCCAAGAAACTACAGCTAAAGATACTGGATTTAATCCCCAATACCATAAAACAAAACAAAACCTCAATATGGATAATGGTGATCCTCAGAAACAATATTGAGTAAAAGAATCCTGACTCAAATGAATACATACAGCATAATACAATTTACATAAAATTCACAAATGGACAAAACTAATTAACGACTTTACCAGTCAAGATAGTGGTTACCTTGGGAGTAATAGAAGGGAGTGGGAAGGTAAAGGAGGGGTGTCTGAGGGATGGTAATGTTCAGTCTAGTACTTTTGTGGTGGTAACATGGATGTGTCACATTTGTGATGATTCATCAAGCTGTCCATTTATGATTTGCACACTTTTCTGTATATAAAACTATAAAATGACTATAAAAATGATGCTTTTAAACAGGAATAATACATCACTTGTAGCTCTTTAAAATACACAGATCCTTGAGGGTACCTGGAATATCCAGGAATGAGTCGCAAATACTTGCATTTTAAAAAAGCGTCACCAGTAATTCCGCCCTGCAGTGGAGGTTAACAACTATTGACTGAAATACTTCATGACGTGTTTGGGTCTCTACTTTCTAGCTAGGTATGGCCAAAAAGACTCATCTTAGAGTCTTTTTCAAGTCTTTTTTCATGGCATTGTAAAACTACCATTAGTATATCGGTATCAGTGTAAAAGTAATCACCCTTTAAGAGAAAAACTCCAGCAGCCCAGGAACTCACCAGTGGGAATACTTCATCGTCACTAACCAATGGACTTGTTATTTCTTTGGTTTGGAATGTCAAAGATGGCAGTGGTGGCATTGTGCTTCTATTTGTCTCACTATCTTGGCCAAGTCTAAAAGAGAAGGAATGGCTCTGATTATTTCTACCAAGGATACATGTTTGTTTATGAAGCTAAAGATTTTGATTTCTCTGATGTCTTAGTGGGGAAAACAACAGAATGTTGTCTGGTTATTTCTTTGAAGATGATTTTCCCAAATAATTTCTACTTTACTTGAAAGACCTACGATGACTTATAATGAAGCAGAAAACCTAGCAATTTAAAAATATTATGCTATTTTTAATTACTTATATTACTCCCCTGTCTTAAACTTGTTTTTTACTCTCTTGGCTGTTTATATAACTGAAACTACTTTGAGAGAAATCTCAAAACAGTTAACATGCCTGCCATTCTAAATAGATACAGGTCTAAATATTCTTTTAGAATTCTCTGTTACATTTAAACTCACTGGCTTTCTTAACAGAATTATACTTTTTTGATGCTAAACAAGGCTTTGTATAATAATTCTGATTTCTATAGGGCATAAAAATTTATAGCTTGTTCTCAATTTATGTCATTTCCTAAACACCTTCACTTATAAGTAGTGTGATCTTGCACACCTGTCTCTCTGTCACTTAAATTTTCTCACATGAAAAAGCTGAGTTGAGTGATTAGTATGTGTAAAACACTTCAGCATAATACCTAGTAAAAACATTAATTAGATTAAGTGTTATTATTTTTAAACTCGTTTGATCTTTTAAAAAAAATCTAATCTATTAATTTACTTTTAAATTAGAATAAACTGCCAAGATGCAGATTCTGGAATTAAATCCAGTTTTTTTTCCCTACAAATTGGGTGAAAGTCACAATGTAGAATTTATTTGTGTTAAAATGTAGAATAGAAGACATGACTGAAAAAAACCAATGAGGTTTTAAACTTTGGTTTGCTGACTAGATAAGTAGTAATAAAACAAAGAAGTCAGTTTATACTGAAATTACACAAAAAGTTGTAACAGTATGGGCTGTTTGGGATTAAAGAAGTATCTTTCATGAAAATGGGGTTTAAATTTACTCAAATCACCAAAGACCATTAAAACATGTTTCTTCAACTTTAAATTATTTATTTTTATTAATAGTCCAAATACTTCACAGGTATTAAGCATTTTCAAAATCTTCATATTTTAATTTGACACAGTTAAAAATATCCACATATATTTCTCTGTTCTTATCCAAAGGCCAGTCTGTATAGACTTGTTTCTTATTATGCAAACATTTGCAAAGCTATGCATACAAACAGCAATAAAAGTTAAGTGAAGCATCTGTAAATTAGTACATAAAAACAAACACAACATGTTTCCCATTTTTACTTATCTTGAAATAAATCTTCCCCCTCCGTCCAACCATAATTACCATGGTAACACAACAGCAAATTAAACTGAAATTACATGGTTTATGATGTGCACAATAAGAAGAAACAAGTCACAATTCAAATAGAATGATTACAATTGCACAGTATATCTGTGTATAATCTTTAGCTGAACCTTTTAATTTGAGTGAGGCTACTATCTGTACTCAGCACAGTGGAAAAAACAAGATAATTATAGAAGTGATTCAAGAAATACATCTCTTTCTATAATCTCAATTATACAGAGATTTCAGGCAAAGTATTTGTTCTACATTATCTAAATAATTATCTCAGTTATCCATTTTCTTATGGATGTATAGATACAGTTTTATGGTGTTAATTACTAAAATTTGTGTAGGGACATTCTTTTTATTGTAAGATCAATAAAATATAGAGATTGAAAATATAGACTTATGAAGTAAAGTACTTTCATTTTAAATCATCTTTATATCTGACAAGTTCTTCTAGACTATAGCTATTCAAATAGTTCATAAAACCATCTGGCATAAAATGCTACATATATCAACATAAAAGCTATCTTAAAAGTTATTTCTGAAGGCTTTTAATATCCTCTCACAAGCAAATCTGCTCAGCTTTTCCACAGGTCCTACTCTAAGGCCCCTGTCAGATTCTGGTAGGACTCAGTTGCTTGGCTGGGGAGCCAAACCCTATCTCCTTGAGTCAACTCTGCAGCTTTCAGAGTCCCCTGATGTGTACACCCAATAATATTTCCCCTTCACCCACACAGTACTATGGAATAATGATCCCATCATAATCTATGCCCACTAACCTTTCTCCCACCTCATCTTCTAATTCCCTATTCTGTGAATTGTTCATTGACCTATATCCTTTCAGCTTGCAGTGTTGTGCTTCTTATTGAGCAACACCATGTCACAAAATTTTCTCACTTTTCCTTACTTTTGTAACAAAATTTTCTTATGTTTGGCTTCTCAACCATTCATTGACAAGAGGTCTTATGAATGATTATGACAAACCTGCTGACTTTGTGACTTTTTAGTATTAAAAACTTTTAGACATGAAGCTGTTTGAATGTTTAATGTCTGTGATAACTAAAATCTGCCCAGTACATGATACAACTTTTAAAACCATAAATTCACTTTTTAAATTTTAAATTTAATTTATTGGTACATTCTAGGTAGATAGTATAGTTACACTAATTACTGGGATCTTGTACCTTCATATGCCAGGTCTTGGTTTTCATTTTTTCCTCTTGTCTCCACCCTCCCTCTACCTCCTTCCCCCTTCAAACACTTTAATTCGATTTTTGCATTTTCTCATATTTTTTTCCTTTTCCCTTATTCCCTTTTCCCTATCCTTCTCACTGTCCCTACACCTTTGGTCTTTTTCTTCCTATTTGCTAATTGTCCCGTTAGGATCTTGAGTACTCTTTTAGTTTTTTACACTAGAGAAACTACGGTATTTGCATATGTGTGACTTAATTATTTCTCTTAGGAGTATATCCTCAAAATGTACCCATTGACCTATGAATGAATCTACTTTCTCATTCTTTATGGCTGAGTAGTATTCCATTTTATAGAAAACCACATCTTCTTTATCCAGTTTCCAAATGATGGGCAAATGGGCTGTTTCCAAGTTTTAGCTATTACACACTGTGGCGCTCAAAACGTGGGTGCCCATACATCACTGTGGTATGATTCTTTTAATTCTTTTGGAAAGTTACCCAGCAGAGGGATGGCTGGGTCAAATGGAACCTCCAGTCCAAGCTCTTTGAGGTATCTCCATATTGATTTCCACAGTGGTTGCACCAGTCTGCACTCCCACCAACAATGGAGAAGGGTTCCTTTCTCCCCACAACCACGCCAACATTTCTTATTGTGTGATTTCTTGATAGCAGCCATTCTTTGTGGGGTGAGGTGGAATCTCAGTGTTGTTTTCATCTGCATCTCTCGAATGACCAGTGATGTGGAGCATTTTTTCATATATTTACTTGCTGATTTTATTTCTTTGTCTGAGAAATGTCTGTTCATTTCAGATGCCCATTTTAGAATTGGGTCTTTATATTTGGGGGTGCTGGTTGTTTTGAGTTCTTTATATATTTTAGATAATAGTCCTTTGTCTGAGGAGCAGCTGGTAAAAGTTTTTTCCCACATTGTAAGTTGTCTCTTAGTTCTGTTGATGGTTTCTTTTGCAGTGCAGAAGCTTTTTAGTAAGATGAGATCCCAGTTGTTGATTCTTTCTGCTAGTTCCCATGCTACTGAGGATTTGTTCATAAAGTCTTTTCCTATGCCAATATCTTCCAGAGTTCTGCCTCTTATCTTCCAGCAAGTTTAGTGTTTTCGTTTTTATATTTAGATCTTTAATCCACTTGGATTTTAATTTAGTGCATGGTGAGAGATAAGGGTCTAGTTTTAATCTTTGGCAGGTTGAGATCCAGTTTTTCCAACACCATTTATTAAAGAGGCCATCTTTCCTTCAGTGGGGATGCTCAGCTCCTTTGTCAAAGATGAGGCAGCTGAGTGCATCTGGAGTTGTTTTGGTGTCTTCCAATCTGTTCCACTGTGATCCTCAGGTCTGTTTCTTTGCCAGTACCATGCTGTTTTTATCACAGTGGCTTTGTAGCATAGTTTCAAATTGGGAATTGTTATACCCGCTGCCATGTGTCTGTTGCCTAGGACGGCTTTTGCTATTCTAGGTCTCTTATGGTTCCAAATGAATTTTTGGATTCTTCTTTCTAGTTCTGTGAAGTACAGTGTTGGGATTTCAATTGGTATTGCATTGAATCTGTATAGCAGTTTTGGTAGTATGGCCATTTTCACTACATTGATTCTTCCTAACCAGAAGCAGGGGAGATCTTTCCATTTTCTTACATCCTCCTCGATCTCTTTTTTTCAGAGTGCTGTAGTTTTCAGTGTAGAGATCTTTTTCTACTTTTGTTAGATTGATTCCCAGATACTTCATTTTTTTGGGTGCTATTGTGAAAGGAATTGTTTCCCTAATTTCTTTCTCAGTGAGTCTTTTATTTGTGTACAAGAAGGCTATTGATTTTGGGGTGTTGACCTTGTATCCAGCTACTCTGCTAAAGGTGTCAATTAAGTCGAGAAGTCTTTTGGTGGAGTTTTTTGGGTCTTCAATGTAGAGTATCACATCATCAGCAAATAATGACAGTTTAACTTCTTCCTTTCCTATCTTTATTGCTTTAATTTCCTTCTCTTGTCCAATTGCTATGGCTAATGTTTCCAGAACGATATTGAAGAGGAGTGGTGATAGTGGGCATCCTTGTCTTGTTCCTGATTTTAATGTGAAGGTTTTCAGTTTTTGGCCATTTAATATGATGTTGGCTGTTGCTTTTCCATAGCCTTTATTAAGTTTAGACATATACCATCTATTCCAATTTTTTGCAGAGCTTTTATCATGAATGCGTGTTGAATTTTGTCAAGTGCTTTTTTTTCCTGCATCTATCGAGAGGATCATGTGGTTCTTGTCCTTGACTTTGTTAATAGAGTATATTACATTAATTGATTTACATATGTTGAACCATCCTTGCATCCATGGAATAAATCTGACTTAGTCAGGATGTATGATCTTCTTGATGATCCTCTGTATTCTGTTTGCTAGTATCTTATTGAGGATTTTTGCATCTATATTCATTAAGGAGACTGGCCTGTAGTTCTCTTTTTTAGTTACATCT